AAACGAGCTGCTCAGAAATGACAATGATTACAGCCACAGGAAAAGCTCTAAGCTAATGGCTTTCAGTACATGTGCTGCCAGACACACAAAACAGAAGGGCGTTTTTAAGATGGCATTCATCTCAAACACTCATCACGGCAAACAAATACAGCTTCAGTAGAAAATGATTTACCCGAGTCCTTAAAGAGATATTCCTCCAGGACCAGTAAGATGGCACATAAGTCCTACTAATTTCCAACTTTGCACTTTAAAAAGTTCTGCATAATTTTTTAAAGTTAGACAGAAAGCAGTGGGGAGACACTCTGGAACCTGTGATATTAGATTTGAAGAATTATCTAATAACTCAAAGCAGATGATGGAAGATAATTTTCTTGTATACAATTTAGATGGTTTCGTAGAGGCATGCAAAAAAACTGCTCTGATTCCATATTCGGTGACTTGCCTGTGGTTAACATTAGGATAAGGCAAAAATGTGGATAAAGGATAAGAGTTCCACCATGTGGTTTGCTGCTTTAGATGAAAGCAGAGACATAAATTCTAATTTAATCCTAAGTCTTTCCAGGGCAGCTTGAAACTATACTTGGCTTGAAACGTATTAGTTTTTATTATTTTTTCTTTCTTATTCTACAGGGTTTCAGTTTTACCTCCAGAGTTCTTTCCTGTTAGCCAGACTTATCACATATCATAGTCTCAAACATAATTTGCTTACACATATGTATATATACATATATATAAGATAGTGATCTCAGAGTCTAAGATTTTAGACAAAAAGAAAGTTCCAAATAAATATTTCTAACTCATGAAAGTGTCATTAGGCTTTTAATGCTATTCCAGACTTCCCTATTATAATACTGAACAGTAAAGAAAGCTCTGTGATGGAGATTGCTTGATTTCTGTCAGCTTCTCTGCCCCCCGACTCCACACACTTTGGGATCACTTACTAATCTGTGCTCTGAAATTAGTCTTCTTCATTAATGAAAATTAACTACTAAATGAGATACATCTACTTGGATTTCATTCTTCTCTGACATGTACTGGGGAATAACAAACCAAATTAAAACCAGACTATCCTTTTATCATCCAAAATCAGAAGTGGAAACAGGAATCAAAGACCCCAATACATATAAACCAGATCCTCAAAAGACATTCAGTTGGCATTAAACTGCCTCAAAACTTTACAAGATAACAGAAGTTTTGTATTTTATTTTCAACAGAAAAGAACCACAGACCAATTTAAAACAGTGATCTTTTTCTAGACAGGCTATCAAATTCCTTTATTTGTAAGGCAGAAGCTGAGGAATAGAAATTCATGACATGACTTCTACCCAGCAGAAGCCTAGGCAAGCCAGGAGACTTTTTGTCTATTCATATGCAGTAAAATTTTTCTCATTATCAAACACATAACTTCTTGGAGTGAATTAAGGTTAAAGGAGTAAAACAAAACTATTTTATTTGCTCTGACTTTCATGGCCAAATGATTGTGCAAAAAATCTATTTCTTTATTTTATGGCTATTTAACAGAACAAACTAAAGTATATTATGTTTCGCTAATAGTGTTGTTTTGCAAAAAAAAAAAAAAAAAACTCATCATGCTGTTAAAAAAAATTCAAGCACTATAGCCATAGCTTGTGGAAAGTTCAAGAGTCTGAGAAACAGGCAGACACTGGCATGAATCCAGGCTCCATTAGTTCACTAGCTCTTTGACCTTAGGTTTTAACCTCACTGCCCTGAGCTCTGTAAAACTGGGCATAATCAAAGCACCTATATCAAAAAGTTGTCTTGAGGATGAGGGACAATATAAATCACCTAGGAAATTTCCATAAAATAAGTCATAGTTAATTATAAGTTTTTGTTTGCCAAAAGGGTAAGAGTTAATACAGATAAACCACATGGAATGATGCCTAACACCTAAGCATTAGCTGTGGCCACCTTCATTGTCAAGTGGTAGAGGAGAGCTGACAAAACCCAAAGGAAAAGAAGCAAAATGAATCCCACACCTAGCACTCCGCAAGGACGTGAGGAGAATTCCTATCTGTGACAGACTTTATAAACACTAACAAGTCCCCTTGATAAGGTGCTCTGAGAGGCATGGTCTGCAAAGGCACCATTGCTGTTGTTTAGTCACGAGGTCATGTCTACTCTGAAACTCCACGGGCTGTAGCACGCCAGGCTCCTCTGTCCATGGGTTTCCCAGACAAGAATACTGAAGTGGGTTGCCTTTTTCTTCTCCAGGGGACCTTCTCGACCCAGAAATCAAACCTGCTCTCCTGCATTGCAACAGGCAGGCTCATTACCACTGAGCCACCAGGGGAAGACACCATTACTACCCTGGATTTTATAGCTGATGTTGGATATTAAGCAAAATATTGAGAAAGGTTTGACAAAGACTCATCAAGAGATGCTTTTGCTTTAGAATAAGCAGCCAGTTAAGGAAGAGCCTTAATTAAGTCCTTTGATGTCTTCTGATTCCTGCTTTCACCTCTGGATCCAACCACAAGTGCAGAAAGAAGCCTGATAGAGCATAGGGTCAGCCCCAGAGAGAGACAGACACTGCAGGCTGCCGAAAGGAGGAGCAGGGTGGGAGGATGGAACTTTGATCCTCAGGTTGAAAATAACATCATACAAAAAAGAGAAAAAAAAAAAGAAAAAACCACAAAGATATGTTCTCAATAAACTATTGTCCCCAAAAGAGTTAAATAGTTCTGAGAAGATTCTCGTTGTTCTCTGAGTAGCTTTGAGGAAATCCATAATTTCTGTGTCGTGTTAAATAAAGCACTAAAGAACATTTCTGATGATTTACTCTGAAGTGTATACTACCCTAAGTTAAACATATTTTTAATTAAAACTTTACTTCTGTTTTCCTTTTTCTTCCTCAGATGGCAAATTTGTGAGATATGAGCTAAAAAATAATCCCATTTAGAAGTCGGAGCTGTTTCTCTGCAGAAATGACCCAAGATTCAAACATGGCAGTAAGAGTTCACCGGTCTGCTTAGAAAGAAAAGAATTCTTCCAAGTGCCCTGAAAAGGACATGCACTTCCGTCATTGGCGTGAACAGGTTTAAAAGCAACTGCTGATAAGCACAGCACGTTGATTAGAACGAATTACTTTAAAGCAGAGGAAGTTCCAAAATGCATCCTTTCATGTAAGTGACTGAGCAAATGGGTGAAGGAACCCACTAAAGTGAAGTAAACACTGAGGCAGTCTTGGTGATTCTCAACTGTGCAGGAAACAGCAGCACTGTTGAAATGTGCAGGTACTTTTGGCTTTAGGATCTGGCAGCACATAGTAGGTGCTCAATATATATTTACTGAATGAGTGAATTAACATATAATTACAATCATATGCAGGTCTACTTATTTCACACCATGTGCTATATACTTAATAATTATTGGTCAATAAACCTCGCTAAAACAGAGACTTGTTAACAGAGGAACACTTCTGTATTAATGCTACTTGATCTTCCTTTTTGAGGAGTAACAGAAACATAGTGAAAGGCATCTATTACAACATGCTTGTTGACTTTTAAGATTTAGATTCCATCAGGTTAGTATTCTTTCTTGAGGGAAAAAGAATATCTTTCTAACCTTCCATTAGGCAGATTTAATATCTCTTAGATGGTATTATAACTATCTAACTATATATAGATAGTTATGTATGGTATATAACCAACTAACTATACCTGGAAAAGTTAACAATGGCAAACTGTGGCTTTAACATATGGAACAGCTAGAATCTGGATAAAGCACAGAACATCCAATGGTTTTCTGAATATTTTAAAATATATCAATATGTTTACTTAAGAAAGTTTTTACAAACTATTTTTTTAGCTCATTCTAACCTAGTAAAAGTTTAAAAAATTCTTTTCTTCCCTGTATTGTACATTCCCTCACAATGTGATATATGACTTAAGAGTGGTAACATGGAGACAAGTAATGAAGAAAGAGAAGTTACAGGAAGGAGAAAAACCTTGAGGTAGTAGAAATAATTGTACACTTTAAATTTACCTGAGTATATAGATTGCATGTATGTGAGTGAATGGACACTTTTATTTTACTTTTGCCTAAAGAGTTAGGTATTCTGCATTTATAGATGTGACTTGTATTAAGCTCAAATAAATATTAAACCACGCTGTTCAGACAGTAACTCTCAGAAAAGGCTGCATTCTTGCTTCATTTTACACATGTACAGTTCCAAAAGGTAAAAAATTATATCAATTTAAACTTGTCACAATATCTGGTTTCCACAGCCACCATCCCCTTTTATTTGATAATGTTCTTATTTTATTGATATTTTATGTTTACACATCAGTCTCTCTAATCAGACCGCAACTTCCTCTTAGGTCTTTAATGCATTTTAGAATCCTGAGTGTCCTGTGCAGAGTAGGCACATATTAGACATTTATGGAAGTGAACTTTGCTCTTGCACTTTCTTCTTCCAACTACATTTTTGTACATTACCATCCCTTTTAGGGCCCTTTTGTATGAGCCAGAGTAATTTTTCTCTCTATCCACATCGAGAATCTTTGTCTTTTATAGAAAGTGTACTCTCTGAAGGTAACCAAATACCAGATAGTATTTAAAAAAAATAATAATAAAAAACATAATAACTTAATTATTACAGATATGAAAAGATATTAAGTTAACATAAATATCAGTATGTCAATGTGTAAGTTATCTTTTATCATAGACATCAAATTTGAATAATTGACAGGGACAACTTCACTAAAAGAGCCAAAAAAGTGATTTAGCAATGTGAGCTACTGAAACATGGTTATATACTTTACTGCTTCAGCTATGTCTTCAAGGTGATGGGAAAATTCATGGATTTTGTTTCTTTATATTTCTTCAAAGCAACTATAAAATATAATAACATTGTTCATCCTCAACAGTATATTATTCACACATAATCTAAATCTTAGAAATTTATTCTTAGGGTTACCTGTAAGATGCCAAGTAACTACCTAGCAAACTGAATTAGCACAAAGGCTCAAGGCTCTTACCATCAAATCCATCTTCTTCTGATCCTAGTTCATCGTCTGAGCAGATGTTGAGGACGTTTACCAGCATCTCAGTCACTGAGGAGAAAAAGGAAAGAAAGAAAAAACAGTCTAAAAAATCTACTGTAATGTTAATTTTACCCTGGCATTGTTAATGAGCAGGCTGGGCAGTAACATCCTAACCTATATTGAAGATGGAATTTCCTGCATAGCAGTTTTTATAAAATTCAGATCACAAAAGGTATCAGGCCTTGTGTTTCTATGCAGACTTTATATTATTAAAATTATCAGCTCATGCTACGAAATCTAATGGAAACACTGACCAGGAATCAGTCAATAGACAGTGGACAAAAGAAAACTGTGGATGTGAATATAGTATACATCTATGAAGGAGAAAATGCTTTCTAATTTTTATTTATTTGTACAGTGATGCTGTTAGATTTAGACAAGATTACAAACATTAGGTTCATAGGGACCAAGTGAATGCTGCTGCTGCTGCTAAGTCACTTCAGTTGTGTCTGGCTGGATTTCTTTTTAAATTTTTTTAGTCCCTCAGAGAATTCAGTTTAGTGATAGAAGTGTGGTTTGTGTTTAAGAAAAACTGATGATTGATGAACTAATATATTTGAGATAGCTTTGAGAATATCAATTTAAAAAATTAGTGTGTTGAAATATATATATAGCATTAAATTTCATTTTCAAAAAGGTTTTATAAATGAAGCTTAGATAAGTCTGATAAGAAATTTACTTGAATAAATAGATTAAAAGAGGGTTGTATAAAAGCATTATACACAGAAATTAGTACTGCAACACTTTACTAAGTTACATGCTATTTGCATTGAACATTTTTAAAAGTTAGGTTGGGTTCTATCATAAGTGTGAAAAGAAGCTTGTCCAGTATTTCTTCAAGAGTTCATTTTTAAAATCAATGTTCTTCTAGCATTAAAGATATATGTTAAAGAGTGAAACTTCAGTGGGGCCAACATTAACCCAGAGCTCCAATTTCATTATCAAAAGTAAGTTATGTACACATATATATTAATATATTATTTTGTTACAGATGTTCAAAAAATCTGAATAATTAATGGAAACAACCCACATGAAGGGTGTTCAAGGGTCGTTGTCAGGATTCTCAGTGCTTTTCCGTCCGTGCTGTGATCTGACGGGTGCAAGGAAGTGGTGACATGGAGTAGTACTGGGAACATTTATCTATTAAAATTAAAATTTACTGACTCTTAACATTTACTTTTGACTTGTTTTGGTGTTGAAGGGGAAGACTTCTTTGATGACAATTCATAACTTCTTGGGCTTAATCATTAAAGGATATTTAAAGAAAAAAACAAGGATTGTAGGAAAATGAATATGATACATGTTAATATTAATATATTACATATATGTATGAATATAAATACAAAAATATTTCAGAAAAATGCACAGCTTTTCTCTAAAATCCCCCCATAGGACATTATTTTTCCAAAACAAGTGCAAGCTCTTATGTTTATTACAATGCCTTTTCCCTTTCTCTGTGATACTCAAGACTTTGCTTGAGGAATGATCCAGACTATCACCATCATGCCTCCTGAATGGAAAACTCAAGTTCAGTGGGTGCAGGCTTTTCCTCACCCACTGAGGAAAACCCAAATTTTTGTTGTGCTTTAGGTCAAAATATAAAAAACAAATAAAGGTGAAGTGAAGGAAAGAAAGAAAAGACCAATTCTTCTGAAAAACTGGAGCATATTAATAAACAACTTTTAAAATAGGAATCTTTCTTATCTAATGGTCACAATATTTATCATCACTCAGTTGCTCAGTTGCATCCAACTCTTTGCCACCTATGGTGGCAGGCTCCTCTGTCCATAGGATTTTTCGGACAAGAATACTGGAGTGGGTCACCATTTCCTCCTCCAGGGGATCTTCAAAACCCAGGGATCCAACCCATGTCTCCTGTGTCTCTTACACTGCAGGTGGATTCTTTATTGTCAAGCCATCATCATGATGAACTTTATTTTTTTGTTATTGTACATGCTGTGTTTCAAAATATTGTAGACATTAATCATTTTCATACAATGACTATTATTAACATCAGAAATGTGAGGAAAGCATGGTTATCTCAACCTTTTAATTTGACTGGTAGTTTGTAAAATAAAATAGAACTCTTGAATTATAATACAAAGGCGTAAGAAGAGAAGGTAGCCATTATAGCTTGAAGCCAGTCAAAACTCCGAATCTGTTACTTTTTTTAAGTTGGATTATTCTAATAAGATTATGTAAATTATCCTAATAGTTTTCATTTCTTTTATTTCCCCCTTAATTCCATCCATTACATGTTAATAACATGTACAACGACATACTTTCAAATCACTGCTCCTATGGTGCAGCTTGTGAGTTTTACTGGTTAGACCAAAGGATTTCTCTTTCTGAATATTTCATGGTAAAAGAGCCACAAGTGTTCTCCTTCCTTCTCATATCATTTTATGTAACATCAACATACATACTCTACCAGGTGTAAGACGGATAGCTGGTGAGAAGTTGCTGAGTAGCAGAGAGAGCCCAGTCTGGTGCCCTGTGATGACCTGGAGAGATAGGGTGAGGGGAGAGGAGGGAGGCTAGGAAGGGAGGGGACATATGTCTAATAATGGCTGATCTGCATTGTTGTAACAGAAACCAATGCAACACTGTAAAAGAATTTTTTTTTAATATAGCTAAAGAAAAAGAAAAAAAAAAGAACATCCCAGGATTCCACAACACACCTTTTTCTCCAACAAAAGGCAGGGACCAGGTGAAAACATCCATGAAATTTGGAAGCCAATATGGATGAGGAGAACAGTTGAATTGCCTGATATTCATGACATTGTTCTCATACTTCAATACTGCAGCTGAAAAAAACAAAAAGAAGGAAATTAGATTCACAAGCATATATTTCTGCTTCTACACATGGCTTGAGTTGATCAAGAAAATTCAACTAATTGACTTAAGCTCCAAAATATCAAGGTAAATAGCTTCATCTGTCATGAATGTTTATACTAGTTATGGATTTAATCTTCACTCAGTGTGATATGTAACTGCAAAATATATAAATGCTATATATGAAAATTCATTGTAATTTGGCAAATATATATAAAAAAATAGTTACTCAAACACCAGGAACTGGATCAAGCTTTTTCACAGCCAAGGATATTTTAGTCTTATTTAATATTTGATGAGAAAAATAAAAGTGGCATAGGTAAGTTAGTGCAATATAATTTAATAATCTCAAATCTCTGAACAGAATTTATTCCTACTGCTTTCAAACCACACTTTTTTTTCCCAGTAGAACTCACAACAGTTGTACAAACAGTTTAAATTAGACTGCAATCTTGACTTTATAAAGTAAAATGTTTGGATTGAATTCTTCCTTAAATAATATGCTAGTATCTGACTCCTCCCTTGACTTCTGAAAAGGATGCACCATCCACAAAGAATAGGAAAATAAATCTGCTTGCTTTACTCTGGTTTGTCTGGTGTCTGTAGCTGGATTGATACTCATATGGAATGTTATGGCTGAAGAGATGCTAAGAGCATAGCTGATCTCCCTTCTAACCAGGTTCAGAACTTCATCTATAGCAATCAGGACACAGAGGGAGCAGGTCTCTGTAAATACTTTCAATGAAGCAAAAGCTTTACTACTTACTGATTTTAGTTCTCCCTTCTGAAAAAATATAGAACAAATACACTTCTGTTTCTTTAAACATTAAGAACTAAACTCTCATATTACAGACTTTCTATGATGGCATGATTAGCATTTGTGTGTGCCTGCTAAATCACTTTAGTTGTGTCCAAATCTTTGCAATGCTATGGACTGTAGCCCGCTAGGCTTCTCTGTCCATGGGATTCTCTAGGCATGAATTCTGGAAGGGGTTGCCATTCCCTCCTCCAGGGGATCTTCCTGACCCAGGATTCGAACCAGCTTCTCCTGCAGCTCCTGCATTGCAGGCAGATTGTTTACCGTAGAGCCACCTAGGAAGCCCATGATTAGCATTATCTTAGGGCAAATTACTGAACAGATCCTAGATAATGTCAAATGAGTTTTTCATGGCTTTGTCTGGGGGTTTAAAATATAGAAAAATTAATCATTTCACTACTTTAAAATTTTTAGGGTGACTTTATATGTGAAAGATTAGTTAGAGCATGTGATTCCTATGCATAAACATAGGCCTTAAAAATCTCTTTTTTAAAAAAAATTACTGGAAGTTTACTAGGTTTGAGCTTTTGCATCAATGCCTGCACTAACATCTTTTCTTCTTACTTGATGATGTCTTTAACATAACATTGCTTTCATAGCTCCACATTTTTCTTTCACTTCCAATGTTTTCTCAGAACCTCTAAATTTCCAAATTCTTCCCATACCTTGGTGCCCACCTCAAACACTATCCCCTCTTTGAAATCTTTTCTGATTTCTTCTGATGAGTGTCTTTCCTCTGAATTCCCAAAGCCCTTGACTTATAGCTCTATTTGCATTTATTCTTTAATTTAAATACAGGTATTCTATGTATATATGAATATGCCCAATGTCTCTCTATGTCTGTAAGGAAAAGTATCCTTCAGCAGACTTAACAGTATTTATGTTTGAGTGCTGAAGAATTGATGCTTTTGAGCTGTGGTGTTGGAGAAGACTCTTGAGAGTCCCTTGGACTGCAAGGAGATCAAACCAGTCAATCCTAAAGGAAACCAATCCTGAATATTCATTGGAAGGACTGATGCTGAAGCTGAAGCTCCAGTATTTTGGCCACCTGATGCAAAAAGCCTGTTCACTGGAAAAGACCCTGATGCTGGGAAAGATTGAGGGCAACAGAAGAAGGAGGCAGCAGAGAATGAGACGGTTAGATAGCATCACCAACTCAATGGACATGAATCTAAAACAAGCTCTGGGAGATAGTGGAGGACAGAGGAGCCTGGCGTGCTGCAGTCCGTGGAGTCACAAAGGGCCAGACATGACTCAGTGAATGAGCAACAACGTTTCACATACCATCTTCTTGGCATAAATGCTCAAAAGCTAAGGACATATCTTGATATTTCCCCCATAATCTTTTTCAAGAAAATTCCTCCTAATCCCTTTGACCTTTCCTCATAGGAGACAGCTTCTAGAGCCTTTCCCTCAACCTGCACATCCTATTCTGGATGCTTGTCACATCAGCAATGCAACTGTTAAAGTGTGGCTCAGAACTAATATAATCTTGGTGGGGGTGATCAGTGCAGAGTATGGGAAGAATATATAGTTTTCTGTGATTTGCATACTACATACATCTTACTGCAGCTGAACAATAAGTGGATGTTTTCAATAGCTTGCCATTAACAAAAACCATACTTGATAACAGTGAGGTTTTTTTTTGAATCATATTTCAGGCTGACCAACCCAATTCCAGAGAACAGAATCACAGATGGTTTGGGGACAAGAATTACAGATGGTAAAATCAACACTGAGTTACTGTCTTCCTAGAGAATACTGAATCCTCCATACATTCCTGTAAACCCATTCTTCTTTGCATTATCCTATCATTGATTCGATATGTCATTTGGCCTAAGGATACAACCACACAGTATTAAAAACATGCAAAATGAAAAAATCATGGCAAATGACAACATCGCCTTTGCTAGATGAGAAAGATGAAGTCCTTTCAGCTTAGCTGCCTGGTCTCTGAGCACCAGCTTCATGGAAATGGTATTTATACTATTTTTAAATACTGCATATTCTTAGCAGGAATGGATCCTCCTGTCTTCAAAAGAATCTTTTAAGGTTATGAGTTGTCTTTTTGAAGAGTAATTTCTTCTCCAAGTTTTCCCCACTTTGTATTAGTTTAGGGTGGTGCAGCAGGAATAAATAAATAAGTGTTATAACTGAGAGTACCCAGGAGAAAAGGGAGGCTTTCGATAATATGTCATTTAGTCCTTATTACAAATCTGAGAAACAGATGTGACTGCCCTCATGCTATAGACTAAGGATCTGAGGTTGAGAAGTAAAATAACTTTCTCAGGATCATGCAACAAGGAACTAGAAGATTTCACTCCCAATTCAAACTCAGCTTTTACTGACACCAAATCCATCCTCTTTCTAACATCCCTCTATCTCTCCTAACTGATCAATATTTGAATTTCAGTCTGAGCTATTATACTAATTTAACTTTGAATATGATGTTCGTAATTAAAGACATTTTAGCTTCTTGCCAAAATACATGTTTGAGAAAAATGAAATAGGATGCACATTCATTAGTGTGGATAAAGCTTGTCCAATAGATAAAGTAGAAGTTCTGTTTTGTCACTGGTGAGACAAAGCATTTATTCACTTGACACTGGCCTACACAATTTATCTGCAAGTCTACTGATAATGCAGATACTGTTTACAGATTTTATTTTTGTTTATTAGCAACAGAAATAATACCATTTAATAGTGGCTACATTTTCTAAGCATCTTCTCTATGCGCTCCTGAGCTCGGGCTTGGTCATTTCAGTCGTGTCTGACTCGCTGTGACCCCATGGACTGTAGCCCACCAGGCTCCACTGTCCATGGGATTCTCCAGGCAAGAATGCTGGAGTGGGTTGCCATGCCCTCCTCCAGGGGATCTTCCTGACCCAGGGATTGAACCCGTGTCTCTTATGTCTCCTGCATTGGCTGGTGGGTTCTTTACCATTAGTGCCACCTGGGAAGCCCATCTGTTCTATACCAGGCACTATATTTGGTGTTTAATAATCAAATAACTTCACAATATCTCTCAAAAAAGTGGCTCTTATTTACATTTTCAAAATAAGCAGAGGGGTTATTTGTCCAAGGTCACACATGAGAAGCAGCAAACCTCAGTTTGGTTTTGAATCTGAAGTCCCTCATCTTTCCAGTATTCCACAATATTCTGACTCTAACTGCATAAATCATTCCAGGTCTACCAAGTGTTGGACACAGATTCTCCTTCCACGTTTATTTCTTTTTTAAAAAAGGGAGCACTGGACTGGAAGCCCAGGTGCCCAGACTGAAAGATGAATGCTGTCTTGAATTACTCACAAGACCCAAGAACACTTAATGTCTCTGCGTCTCAGCTACCTCACTTTTTAGTACTTGGGTTTATCCAGATAATTTACACAACCTCTTCCAGATCTGAATAATGTTAACAGACTTCTGGAATGAAGATCTCATCATTAATGCAAAGAATGATGAATGTTTTCAGTAATTCTAAAAGCCATTAATAGAACCTTTCCCCTTAATTTTCAATATATTTAAAAAAATTAGCTTTCATTTAAAAATGCAAATGCAGCAATATGTATTCTCTTCTTCAGCCATATAAAATACTCATGCATGAATTTTGATTTTTTTGCATAATATATATATATCACAAAAACATATAAAAAAAATTAAACCAGAACAGTCCCAAATACCCAGTCACGAACTTCACAGTTAACGTTTCATCTTCCACCTCCCACATCCTCCGCCCCTGCCGCCTGCCTCTGTCACTGGAATTACAGAGCTCAATTGGGGCCCTAACAGGATGCACTCCTCTGAAGTACTTGAAAGACATTTATCTCCACCAGCCACATAAATAATACAAACGGTTGTACTTCAAGAATCACTTGAGACCACCTCCTGAGATCTTGCCTGAGAAATAGAGAGAGGAAAAAAGAATGAAGTCTACTATCAAGGGACTCCTTTATTCTGCTGGCAATTATACATGACCTTGTGTCCTTTAACAACTGTATTAGAGGCCAGGGGACAGAAGATGACACATATACGGGCCCTAGGTTACCGACCATAATTCAGAACAGACCAGACAGCACGGCAACAGCTCTTCCCTTGCACAGGCAAGGTGTGAAGAATAGTCAGAAGAAATCTGGTATAAGAGAAAGAGTATTAATC